CTGCTGCTGCTGCTGCTGCTGCTGCTGCTGCTGCTGCTGCTGCTGCTGCTGCTGCTGCTGCTGCGCCCGTTGCAAATAGAAGAGGATCCTGATTGGAAGCATGCAAAAAAAAAAACCTCGAAGAACTTAACAGGCGGATAGACACATGCACAGAGCGAGACACATACATGAATTCATCCAGCAATTCAGGCATCCATCTCCACAAAGACACAGATACAGAGTGAGGCACACGCCCCAGGGCAGGATCCGGAGTCGGGCTGGTTCAGTTCAGTGATTGAGTAGATGAGCTGTAAGCTCAGTTGACTTCAAAAAATGGCTGCATTTGTTGTTGTTGCTTGAACTTTCACCCCAGTGTTTTCCGACTGCTGCTGCTGCTGCTGTTGCTGTTACTGCCGCTGCTACCGCTAGGGGTGTGTTGCTACTGCTGCAACCCCAGATCCTAGTGGCTCAAAAAGAAATTTTTACGGAGAATGTACAGCCCTGATTGCTGCCGCCGAACGCTGAATGAATAAAACTTTTAAGTCCCCTTTTCCACTCTTTGTTTCCCGTTAGATCGGAACAACTACAGTGCAGTATTACAGTTTTCTTTTTTTTCGATAATTCTTTTTTGAATCTTTGTTCGATATCCAAAAATTATTTTTCCAGGGATTTAGTAGCTTCATTATTGATAATTCCAAGGCAGAAAATTCACTACTGCCACTTACTGTTTAGTCTATTTTTCTTCAGCTGCTGCATTCTATTTCAACCCCGGAAAAACTTATTCATTTTCCTGGAAAGGAAAGCAGAAAATGAAGCGACATCCAGAAAGATTTTTATTCAACGAAATTCAAGAAACGATGTAAATTTTAAACAACTCCTAAAGAAATCTGGCACCTGCTACTCTATTGAAGACTAGAAATCAAGCGGCGAGGAAATAATTATGGAGAAGCTTGGCAAAGTATGGACAAAGCTGAGTACCACGCGTCGACCATCGCAAACAAGACCTACCAAGGATATTGACATGGAGGGTGATGCACCGGTGGATACGAAAAAGGTATTTGAACTGTTTGCTGAAACTCCGCGCTCCGCTGAACACCATCGACACAGTAACACAGCCAGTGGCTCGGGCAGACCAGCAACAGCTACCTATACACCTCCCGCCAGCCACCGAAAGCACCAGAGTCTGTCGAGTCGGGAAAAGTCCACTCGTGCCGCATTTCCTACAGTAGCATCTACCAATGCCATTGCGGAGGAATGGCGAAAGACATCACCAGGGGCCCTGGCTTCGGATCTGGAACCGCCTGTTGCCGCTAGCACGGCTATTTCCGGAGTACGACCCGCATCAGCTGAAACGGCAAGCACAAGCACCACTGGATTTAGCAAATTTTACCGCGATATCCCGGTTGTAGCTGGCAGTGCATTGGAACCAGTGGATGCAAGTGAAGAAATCGGGATTGGTAAGGTACTAAAAGGTAGCTCGCCACCCGTAATTTCTCGGACACCAATAGTTGCTAAGCCAATAGGACATGTAATCGCAGCTAAAGACTGGGATGAAAGGACAGATGCCGATGATACTCCGACTGGTTGGAGTATGACGATGACAGCCACATTGCCATCTCGTGTTACGTTTACTGTGCCGACAACAGCACTTCCTGAAACAAACGATTACGGTGAAACTGACGCCGACCGTCAGAGCCCTTGTCCCACGACTCGTGAAATTCCAGAATTATCGAACGTCTCTGATGCGGTAAGCTTTGAGCTTTGCACAGATAAAGATTATCCTGGCTAACGTGTTTGTTCTCTAATCAGGCAATCTGATGATATTTCGGGCAACAGCTTCACAGTTTCGCTCCTCTACTTCTGCATTTCATTCTCTTCCGCTTTTTACACTCACTGCATGAGCTGCGTATGCAACGCCGTCAAATTTTAGAAGCAAAACTTGTTGTTTTTTTAGCAAACAGAGCTTCACATCATCGGTTTAATGGATTTCGTGCTTTTTTTGCTAGTATGCACATAACTCATACTGCTGGAACCCTGTATATGCCCCGGTGTTCATCATCAATTTCTAATTCATCGGTCGAACAAGCTAGAAAGTTGAAATTTCAAAAATTCTGGCCCATGCTAGGAAGTTGAAATTCTTAAACTTCTGTCCCAGGATAGAAAAGTGAAATTTTAAAACTCTTGACTTCAAGGCCGTGATATCAGCCTAAGAAGTTTGATAGATCTTCAATTACTAACCTAGATGCGTGGAAGTAACAATTTTGCATAATTTGCATGATTTACACAACAGTTGATCTGTGTCCACAGGTATGAGTGGTTAATTAGCAGAAAGATTAATTTTAAAACTGAACATAATTTGCTATGATCAACAACTGTTGTTGCAACGCCGAGCAAATGATATAAGGTCAAAAGTCAGTTTGCAGCGAAGTTCTGAAGACGATTTCAAATGCTTAAACTACAGTGATGTAACAAGTCACTCTGTCAAAACTTGGTCTGTTTTGTTCTTTATCTTGAGAATGAATGAAAAGAATTACGGATAAACATTTCGAAGATCGATCGAAACAATGCAAGTTGCGTGCACGTTTAAGTCTGTTTAGCAGCAAATTTCCAGAGAAGCAGATTTTTTTTTGCAAGCA